AAGAATATATTGTAATTTCACATTTCAAAAGGATCAAAAAGAAAGTGTTAAGATCAAGCATAACTGGACTTTAAAGCTTGAAAAACAATTGAAGCACCATCCAGCACTGCAGCAGTACACATCAACTTCATTGCAAACATCAACATCAAGCAATAGCAAAAAAATAGCAGCAACAACTCAGCCACCTGCAACCATGGAGGGTAGCACAAACATAACTTTTGTCCTTTTGTTCTTCTTATTCTTGAAAAAATCATAAAAGTTCTCATTCATGAAGGAGGATTCCGCACCGAATAAATGCATTTGTGTTGCATCAAATGACATACCCTTCATAAATTAGAATGGATCAATGAGAATATAACATTAAAATCAATGCATTAATGTATGAATAAACTAACATACCTGAGTATTGGATGCTTGTGAACATACTACTTGTATAGATAATGGTTGTGAAGGTAATGGTTTGTGGACATACTGGTTGTGAAGATGAAGGTACCTTAATGACAAACAAATCATGAATCAATATTGTCGTATGTTAAATAAATATAAAAAAATCATTCAATGTTCGATGTGTCATACCTTAGACATATTAGAATGTGTGTGTAACTACTTTCTTTTTTTTCTCATGCCACGACTTGAGTCGACCTCAGCCTTTGTAACCACCATCCTTCCTTTTTGTACCTTTCACCCCTAAAGTGTTAGGGTCCACATTCTCTCATCCATTCCTTCATTATCCACACATGTGTTTTCGAATGAAGCACTACCTTCATTAATATGTGATGCAAACATTTTCTCCACTTGTTCAACAAATTTTGAATGCCTTGTGTCACCAACTGATGTGCAGTTCCAAGTTCAGAGCAACGAGTTGCTAATTGTACCATTCTAGGACACAGTTGCTTATAACGAAATGTTGCCACCCACTTAAGATTCTTCATATCTGATACACTATAATCTGGCGTATGAATATTCTTTGCATCTCGTCTCCATCTTTTTATTATGTAGCCTTTAGGAATTTGCTTAATATTCATTGTGTCCAACACTTTAAGTGCATGACTACATAATATTCCAACCATTTCAAACTTTCGACAATTACAACTAATAAGTTGTTCAGTAGCATTTATCCCACCAAATACTCCCTCTCTTTTTTCGAACATTTAACAACAAAATTGATGTTGTTGCTCCATAGTATTGCATGGCTGCACAACAGCACACTGGAATGTATCATACTCGGCATGAAATAAATCAAACATAGGAGGAGTGTAACATTGTCCAACTTGTGCACCAACATGGGAGCTTTTTTTAACTTCATTCTTGGCAACTTTTGCCTGGCATGGTACTCTTCTCTCTCCACAAATAATTCTTATCATTTAAAACTCTATCAAAGTGAGTAAAAAAATGAACAATATCATGATCTGGCTTTAAGTACTTTCGCAATTTTGCATTCAAACTCTCACTAAGCTGGGTGCTCCTCATACCTGTTGTAAAAGTTCTCTTCATATACATCTTAGCCCATTTCTCCCTCAAAGTCCAAGTTGTCTTCATCCAGGTATTATTCTGCAAATTATACTCATCAAACAAAGTATTCCAAGTCTCAAACAATTCATATTCTTCCGTATATTTGTAGATGCATTTTTGCAATTTGGTAACAAAGTTAGAACCATCCTTGTATATATTCCTTAGATGTTTTAAAGCATTTTGGGAAAGGTGCCAAGTATGTAGGCCGTGATAAGTCTCCAGCATCACTTGGGTTATTGCCTTAGCCATTGCTTGATCTTGATCAGTAAAGATGGTGATAGGCTTCTTCCCAGACATTGCAAAAATGTCTCAAATAACCATTGAAACGACACTGCCATTTCATCATACAATAATGCAGCACCAAAAATCACAGTTTTCCTAAAATGATTAAAGCCAACAAAGCATGCAAAAAGCCGATAATCCTTGTTCGTACAGAATGTTGTGTCAAATGAGACAACGTCTCCAAAGTGACCATAGTCAATAATCATTTTCGAGTCAGCCCAAAAAATATTTGTAATATGCTCCTCAATATCCAACTAGATACCATAGTAAAATAATGGATTTTTAACTACTTGTAACCGAAAATAATTTAACAAATTGTCAGCTTCACCATATCTCAACCCTCGTTGCCTCCTATTACGAATGTAATTTTTTTGGTCTTGTCGAGTGAACCTCAAATTTTCCCTTTCACCTGCCTGGGTATTCATAAGTTCATATGAATCTTTAAGTAATATCCCACAATTCGTTGTCATGTCAACATGAATGTCTTGCATAGTAGAAACCTTCCTTTGGGATGACATCATATGCACACATTCCTTAAGGTGCAATGGATGATTGTGATCATCCTCCTATTTAACCACATTAATTTCCAATTTCCTAGTTGAGGGATATGCACAGTGAGCCAGACATTTGGTTCGTGTCTTGGCTCGTGACTTTATTACTTTTCAATCCTTTTTATCAACACCTCTTTCTCCCTCTTTGCAACAAACATACTTTCTATAAATCATGATCTGAGCTTTCTTACTTTTATTGTGATAGTCTTTTCTCACACTAAATCCGACCGAACCTCCATATTTGTTATAAAACTCATAAGCATCTTCATCCGAGTCAAACTGCATACCAATATTTGGAGTGTTCACAATTTTATTAACCACAACAGACTCCATTATAGATGTCAGTACCTTCAAAAAAATTAGAATAACTACTGTATCAACACTAAAGCAAGCTTCAATGTATTTTTTTTTTAATGGTATGTTACATGGAGAGGTGACGACGAAGTTCGAACCCACAAACCAAAACATCACAATTAAATCATATCATAAAATTTAATAATGATCAAAGAAATCAACAAAACAATAGAAGATTCAAAATTTTAAAATTTAAATTTAGATCAAGAAAAATCCAACTAATAAAAATATAAATTTGTGGGTGTGTATGTGTGTATATATATATATATATATATATATATATATATATGTTTATGTGTGTGTGTTTATACATATATCCACTTAAAAATATTACAAATGGACATAAGAATACTTGAAATGGATGAAGGAGACGAATCACAAAACCAGGAATCGCAGTGCACCAAGAATCAGAAACTAGAGAATTATTTTTTGGTGAAGAAGTTGGCCAAGAATGGCGCCAAAAGTTTAACCCAAGAAAACCAGACGTTGCCCTTTTTGGCAAAAGTTAACATGGTGTTTAACGAGCGAAAAAGGAAAAATCAAACGGCGACGTTTGTGGGTCTGAATGATTTTTAAAAAAAGGCACAAAACTGTGCCGTTTTGGTGAACAGCAGACGAGCCGAATCCGAAAATTTTATACCATCCCTCTATATATATATATATATATATTTATATTTATTTATTTATTTATTACACGAATCCCTTGGTCATGATCCAACATGTAAGGTGACGATTGACAATTTCGTATTTTTATTTTTATTTTATGGCCAAAAAAAATAAAAAACAAAAAGACATTTGGTGAATGTTTTCGTTTTTTTTTAACTGTTCCACTTTGAAAACAAGGTTAAAATATGAAAATATAAAAAAAAACAAAATAAAATTTAATAAAATCCTAACTTCGATCCTCCTTAACAACAAAAAATAAATTTTCTTACTTGAGTATAAAAAAAACCCTCACTCTTTCACTTTTTATTTTTCAAATCTCTCTCTCTCTCTCTTTTCTTTCTCTTTCTCCTTTCTTTGATCGATTTTGCAAGGAAAGTTGGGTGGTGGGTTTCGAGAGTGGTAGTGGGGGTTGGGTGGTGATGGATATCTGGGTGCGAGAAGTGGGTAGTGGTGGGGTTGGATGGTGGTGGATTTTCGGAGGATGAGTAGTGGGTGGTTGTAGGGCTAGGCAGTGGTGGGTTTCGGGGGTGGTTAGTGAGTTTTGCTGGTGGGTTTCGAGGATGGTTGATGGATTTTGCAGGGGAGTTTAGGTGGTGGGTTTCGAGGGTAGTGGTGGGGTTGGGTGATGGTGGTTTTTATGGTGGGGGTTGAGTGGTGGTGGATTTCGAGGAGTGGTGGTGGGGTCAGGTAATTGGTGGTGTTGTTGGCTGGTGAATTTTTGATATAATACAAAATATATTTTTTATTTTATTTTTATAATTTTTAACATATAAATGACTATTAAATATATTTTATATTTTTAGTTTTTATAAAAAAAAATAAAAAATTAGTTTTTTTTTATTTTTTTTAATAAAAAAATATATAAAAACAAAAAATTTATCAAACGTACCCTAAAAAATTAAGAAAAATAAAATTCATTTAAAATACTAAAATTATCCTTACATAAACCCTTAACACTTTTTCTACATAAAATTTGATTAAAGTTCATGCTAATTAAAATTTATTTTTTTAAATATTAAAATTCGAGCTGATTAAAATTTATTTTTTACATGCTAAAATTTGAATCAATTAAAATTCGATTTGAGCTAATTAATTTTTTTTTACATATTAAAATTCAAGCCTATTAAAATTCGAGTCGATTTGACCTCAACCTAAATCGTTAGTGTCGATTAAAATTCAATTCGAGTCAATTAAAACTTATATTTTTTTACTTATTAAAATTCATATCAATTAAAATTTAATTCAAGTTGATTAAATTTTTTTTATATATTAAAATTTGAATCAATTAAAATTTATATTTTTTTACGTATCAAAATTCAAGATGATTAAAATTCAATACGAGTTGATTAAAATTTAATTTGAGCCGATAAATAACAATTTTAATCAACTTGAATCAAATTTTAATCAATTCAAATTTGAATATGTAAAAAAAATTTATAAAATAGAGAAAATCTCATTAAAAATATGCCTATTTATAGGGTGTGTGAAAGAAATTTTTTCTAAAATACATCATGAACAGTTTAATAAAATTAGTAAAATTATATTCTAATTAAGGCTTTTAATAAAGATAGGGACTTTAAAGATATGATAAACTAAAAAAGATGTGATTGACATTTTCCCAAAAATTAAAAACCCATCAAATACCAGAGGTATATTGTGTGCATTCGATTGACGAACGAATTAACAAGATAGTCACTGGCACAAGATACAAACTACTGAGAATGTTTCCACGATTCTCCAAAATACACTAAGAAGGGATTTTCATGCAGGTCATAAAACTAAGAAATCTTTTAGCAACTGCCTTGTAGACATCCCAGAGAATTCTTAAAATATGCATCATAAATACACAGTGCTTAACTGAAACATGAGTTCGAGACAATGTACAATCCGCCATTAATCTGCAAATATTAGCAGCCAGAACTTTAGAATTCAGTAGCCGGATAATGTAATTATTCCACGGCAGCAGAATAGGAGGCCCAAATTTATAAGAACGCACTGCATTCTCTTTACAACTGTCGGGATGCCCCGAAACAGAGAAGCAAAAACTGTTGCCACAACCAAAAAATTAGAAATGAGGATAAGAAATGAGACTGTTAACCCTCAAGAATGACAAAAGACCGTGTATTTAAAGAATCAAATTGACAAACTACAAAAAATAATAATAATAATTTAGACAATTTAAGATTAAACAAACTGTCATGAGACAGGAGAAAAGGAAGTTACCGCGTGCAAACAAAATTTAAACAAGCTACAGCTCACTATAATTGCGCCAAACTGCACGGAATTCCTCACGGAATGTGTTCAGACGAGCTTTCAAGTTAGGTGTTCTAAAGCTTGCATGGATGATAGTGGCTGAGAGAGAGAGAGGGCATGAAAATAAATCAAGCATATGGATACAAGTACATAAACTGCAAATGTTATATAACAGATATGGGAGTGTGCTTATCACAAAAAAAAAAGTGGAATTACCAAGAAGGCCAATGGCAAATGCCCATAGAACAGTTAAGAGGCCACAAGAAACAAACCAAAGAATGAAACTCACTGCATATAGAATAAAAAGGAAAAACTAAATTAGTTGATATTCAGAAACACTAAATTTTGGTCATAAAGGAGAACTAACACAAATTTTCTAACAATTTCAAAGTTTTTCCATACCAGCAGAGAATACCAAAACAAACACCCAACGAGGCTGTCCACATATGTAAATCTCCCTTTTAGCTGATGGACGCCGACGGATAACAGGCCTAAAAAATATCAGCTAATTAAGTAAGCAGCATTACCAGATGCTTTGCAAGTACAAAGGAGCAAAAAACTCTTACGTAAGTGGGGGCCTCATTTTTGCAGCTAAATGTGGAGAAAACTGCCTCACACTTCTTGTTACCTTTTCACTAAAAGTACCTGCAAAGCTGTAGTAACACTCCTTAAGAGAAATCATGGAAAACTGAAAGGAAAAAACATATGAGAAAATAAAGAACAGTAGAATACATATAAAATCAACCGTAGTGGAAAAATGGTGTTCTTTATTTCCTTTTTGTGTGTCTGTGTGTTGTTGATGGGGGTGATGGTTCTATGAGAAAATAAAGAATACATATGAAATCAACCGTCGTGGAAAAATAGTGTTCTTCTTTATTTCCTTTTTGTGTGTCTGTGTGTTGTTGATGGGGGTTATGGTTCTCGGTATGACCTTATTCTACCTCATAACTTAGCACTAGTTTCCCTTTTCATGGTCAGAGAAGATTGATGAACCTTTCTTGATTATGTAAACAAATATATAAACAATTAGCGATCAATACAAAGAACTGGAGGGCTATATATTTAAATAAGTTATAGCTTAAACAAATAAATCATTCATCTTTGTGGGTCATAGGAAGAAAAAAAAAAGGTGATCAAGTGCACGAGACTCAGGCAACTACGGGGTCTAAGGAGAGTCAGATGTATATAACCTCAACCCCACAACCACAAATGAAGATGTTTGTGTGTCTCGAACTCTTAATGTCCAGGTCACAATGGAGCAACCTTACTAATGCTCCAAGACTCACCCAAGTTTTGTGAGTCAAAGGAATCACCCTCAAATTTTTTATACCTAGTATATGTGGAACACACAATTCGTCTACAAGATTCATCTATTACTATAAAATTGAAACTATAGCAATAATACTATTTAAGAAATGAAATGAAAAAAAAAAAGATTTAACTTGTTTTTGAGTAAATTATTTACTTGCCCCCAAAACTATATCACATTTCAATTCGGCCATTAAATTGTATTTTGTCTTTAGATTACATTTTATATCAATTGAGCCCTCCAATGTTCTAATTTAAGTAAATTTGGACCTTTCATCCAATTTTGTAAGAATTGATAATGAAAAGAAACAAAGTGCCACTCACATGATAGCTCATGCAGAGTTATCTTAGATAAACTACCCAAACCCAAGTCCAATGGCCCTGAAAAACCCAACCCAATCCAATTCACCATCGAACCCATCCCCTAAACCCCTTAAATCTGTCACATCCACCTCCAACTAACCACTTGTTAACTTACCCAAAAAAAAAACACAAGTTGAACTTATTCGTATCACCAGAAGAATTTGATAATGATCAACGATCCCTTACAATTGATCAGTCTTTTACTCCAGCAACTGAAATTATACATCTAGCACTACCTACCATCACCACTAACAAACTAATATGCTTTTGGCACTAACTACCATCACATAATCCAGAAAAATCTGAAGAACAGTTATGAACAGTTTCTTTAGCATGAAAATATGTGTTTTAACAAATAGTTTGACAGCCATTCAAATATTGAATGAATCCCTATGGAAAACAGTATAATATAGATGCACAACGTAAAAGGATCAGTATACCTGTCATTTAGAAATGTGATGCTTAGAGCTGTCAATAGTGCAGCAACAATAGCAAGGGGCCTTCTCAAAAAAGCCATTCCTGCAATCAAAATTGAACAAGCATGCATGCATATGCCTACATAAATTCATAGAATAGCAGAAATGATAAATTCAAATAAGTTAATACCGCTTACCAAGAATGAATACAATCATGATAAAATAATTCGTCCTATAGCTGCAAGAATGGAAAATACAAAACAAGTAAACACAAAAAGCAGCTCATAATCAACAAACGCAAGCCTAAAAGCTTAATTAATAAGAAAGTAAAAAAATGTTACAGGAGTGTAAATTCAAGCCTTACATCAAATCCCAAACCTAAGGCCGAAAACACTAAAAACGTAATTGAGCCCCATACTTTATAAAGAACTTAACTTGAGTTGATATAGTTTCATATCACGGAAAAGATAAGAATTCGAATTGTTCGCGCGTTGTTCGTTTCCTCCTCTAATTCTCAGCAGACAAACAGAGCATACAAATACAGTCATAAACAGCAAAACCGATTATTTCAAACACGATTTCCACACACACACACACATATACACAGCGCATGAATTGGAGAATTCGTACTAGTAGAGATTGCACTTGAGGCGACTGTCCCATTTGGAATAGGATCGGGGGACGGTGAACCTGGAGAAGAATTCAGAGAGTGGCCGAGGAGGCGATGACCAGTCGACCTCGCGGAGGGCCTCGATCAGATCTTCTCCGGTTACATTGCCCCAATCCATTTTGATCGATGATCGCCTGTGTGCTAAACCCTAGAAATTATGGTGGAGGCCAATAAGAAAACAAGAAGAAGAAAAAAAAAAAGGCACGACATTCTAGGGAAAATAGATGAAAGGGGTGTGATTGCGTAATTATGTTTCGAGGCTATGGCTAGTGATGAAACATAAGGCCAAGAGTAAATGTGGGCTGATATATTTTGGACCAAGCTGTTAAAATATTGAGAAATTATTCATTGTAACGGTGACACCGCGTTATCACCGTTACATGGTGTTATTGTCAAATTAAAAGATAATAAATACTTAATGTGGATCTCATTAATCTTACGTATAACTAATTGGATACGATAGTTATGAAAATAGTGAGATTCACTTTTTCTATTTTTAGTTTTTTAATTTTATAATGCGTGACAATGATGGTAAGGTGTCACCGTTGTATTAAATATTTGTTCCAAAATATCTGAGAATAACAAACTCGTTAGACCAAACTTATTAACATTACACGAGATTTTTATATAAATAGGTGTATTCAACACGACATAATTAATAAATTAATTAGATGTAAATAAAGTCAATCAAAAAAATACATAAAAGGACTCTATTATATACATATTATACATAACATGACCTCGATATAACCCGATTTGTTAGGAGTGAATTAATAAACGAATCGTGAAATACTTTTTGGTACGAACCCACTAAAATCTAACCCGACACGATTAACAAACTTAATTGTTTATTTATTTATTGAGGAGGATAAAATAATAAATAAATGAAAGTCGTGTCTCAAATGTAAAATTGATTTCACCACGACACAATTAATAAATAATTTAGATATGAATGAAATTAATTAAAAAAATACACAAAATGAATCTACTATATACTGATTATACGTGAATTAATAAACAAATTATGAATTTTTTTTTTTTTTTGTACCCGATTAAACTTAATACAAAATCGCTTTACCGTGGCACAATTAACAAACTTTTAATTTTTGCTTTATTTATTAAGGAGAATCAAAATAAATTTAAAAGAGAAGAGTTGCGTCTGAGCCCGGGTTCAAACCGGGGACCTCTAGTGTGTGAGACTAGCGTGATAACCAACTACACCACCCAGACATCTGCTGAATTCGGTCAAATCTGTATTTTGTATAAAAATATCTAAATTTGCAGAATGCTATCCATTTTAGGTTTAGTGCAATGGCTTGGATAACATTGTGCTGCGGAAATGCCTGAGCATTAATTTTGTGGTGATTTGTTGAGCAATGACCAAAATTTCGTTTTGAGACCTCTAAAATATTTTTGTTTTCAAAGAAATTCAAATGAAATAGTGATGAAATTTAAATTTTAATATTTTAAGGGTTTCGTAATGTTTTGAGATATTTTATAATATTTTAATATATTTTAAGGGGTTTCTTATTTTCTTCATTCTATTTTCGAAACGGATCGAAACGTTTCCGAAACACGTTGAAATATTTTTATTTTCTATGTAATCGAAATAATGCACCGAAACAAAATTTTGATCATTAATTATAATTTGCAAAATTAATAAAATAAAATAATTATATAATATATATTTTTAACACATATCCGTTATCTAATGAAAACATTGTAGTGGGATCCTCGTGATAACCAACCACACTAACACTCCACATGAGTTACTTGATTATTATTTATCAAAGAATTAGTTTGAGTTAGATAATAATAAAATTATCAATTATAATTTAATTGTTATAACTAATGACTTATAATTGGTAAATTTAAAATTTTAATTTTTTAAACTCCTACTTTGAATGAAAGTGGAATTATGGTTAAATAAGAAAACCAATCCTCTCTCTATCCATAAATATACATAATCCCATCAATAAATAAATATATATATTAAAAATTAAAAATTAAAGGAAGAGAAACAGATTTTTGAGTTATACCAAGAAAATTATTGGATCAAAGATCAAGTAATTTAAGGTTTGATGTTATGTTTTCTTAAGTATATATAATTAGTATGTTTGATTTCTTATAAGAGCGAATCTCTAGGAGAATGATTAAAACTCTAAAATACCTAAAATTTTAGTTATCCAAAAATAAAAACCGTGCTCCAGCAAAAAAAGTTTAGAATAGGTAAAATACAATTTTGTTACAATATATTCTCTCATGTTTAAATAGTTTATAGTATATTATCTCTATTCTTGTCTTTTCTTATGGCTCTTATCCACTCCTTATCTTTTCCTTCATTCTTTTTCTCTCTCCATCCAACAGTTCTAACAAAGGTACAAAATATGAGAAATAATATTTAAAAAAAAATAATTAAAATATAAAAAATCTATTATGAAGTATATATTGAAAAAGTTAGTTAAAATTTTTTAAAAAATGTAATTTTGAATAGCTAAAATACAAAATCTTATTAGAGATGCTCTAAGCTTTTGAGCAAATCTTTTTTTGTTTTTTTGTTCAATGGTTAAAGGTGTCTGGGTCATCTTACATTCACCTCGACTAATTATCTTTTAAGTCCGGTAAAAGATAGGCCGTTTACGCCAGAATTAAGGATTTATTATAACTATTATGCGTATAAGATAAGAAATAGGACAATTAAATATTTCATGTGCCTTTAGTCAATTTTATCTCTTTTATAGTTAACCGACTTGTGCAAACTTACAAAACCAAAATTTAGGTGGAGAAGATATCAAGAATGAAAGGTATTTATTGGCATTGATTTTCTAAATTCAAATTATGTAACAAGAATTGAGGATAAATAATGTTTTGTACCCTAAAAAAATAGCATTTTTAATTTATACTCTACATAAATTAAAATTCTCATATTTCACCTCAATCAAAGCAAAAAGGTTATTTTTGTGCTCCATTATGAGAAAATTGAGTATAATGTGAAAAAGACCTTTACTTTTGGACTACACTATTATCTTTTTATTTGAGTGAAGATGTTCTTATTCTTTTTAAAACTCAAATTTAAATTTTGTAAAAAAAATTCAATGTTATACTCAAACTCATACCAAATTAAAAAAGACTTAATTTTTTACTCAAATTAAGAGAGACTCAAACATTTACTCAAACAATAATGGAAGGAAAGTAGAAAAAAATAAAGTGAGATCAGAACCAAACGAGCATGAAGGAAGGGTTTTCTCTCTGGCTTGATCGACAAAACATATATTTTTTTTTCAATGTCAATCAATATAGATAGTTAAATTTCGATTGTAGCACCAACGGTTATATTTCATTATCTTTTAAAAATCTAATCATCATATTATGTTCTTCTTTAAATTTAGGTTTATTCTGATTTAAATTTAAATTTACCCTTATTTAAATTTTGGTCTGTCATCTTTTAACCTTGAATTTCTCTATTAGAATGTTTTGTATCAAATTAATTTTTTTACTCAAAATATTGACTCAATTTTGAGTAAAAATTTGAGTCAAAGTTATAAATGCTATACATTTAAAAATTTTAATTTTTTAAGGTATACATTAAAAAATTAAGAATTATTTAGGGTTCAAAATGTCATTCATCAAAAATTAATGTCAATATTAAAAGCGAATTTAATAATTCTGCTTTCGTTAAAAAATGGGTCATTGACCCATTTTTAAGGAAAAAAAAAAATTAGATGGTGATAAAAGTGTGATTATTAAACACGTTCTTTACGCTTTTCGCACAAAATTGGAAAACTAGCACTCAAATCACTTTCGTTTTTCTGCCTTTTCGGTTCTTGAAGATGCCTAGGCCAGGGCCAAGACCTTATGAGTGTGTTAGAAGAGCTTGGTACAGTGATAGACACCAACTCATGAGAGGCTCTCTCATTCAAGAGATTTTCACGTACTCAATCTCGCTATACTCATGTCAAGAAAATATTATATATGTTTGTGTGTGATGGTGTATTTCAATATGAAGCCATTTTTGTGATGGCGAGTAACTGAAAGAAATAATATTGAAATTATTGAAATCTGAGCTATTAGATTCGAGGGAATAGTTGGGGAGTTGGAGAATTAACACAGTAGAAATATAGTGGTTCACCAGCTCAGGAGCATGGCTAGTCCACTCTGAAATGAAGGCTCTTACTCATTTTCTTTCAATAATCGCCGTTACAAGGTTACAATGGCTCTTTTTTGTTTCTAGGGTTCCTCCCTCTGTTAGGAGGTGTTACATTGCATTTATAAGGTCATTTCCTGTTAAGTGGGATCCTAGCTGAGATTCTTGCCCTTACTTCGCGGGGTTCTCCCTAATTTTTAGGAGAAGATCTTGGTTGGGTGAGATTAGGTGCCTTGATTATAGTTTCCTAACGCTTTAGGAACTTCGTGATTATCTAGCTGTTGCTTTGGTTGTCATTGTCATCGGTTATGTCGAGGGTACCTCTAGCTCTAATCCTCCGAGTTCTGCTTGTCTAGTCTGACCTTTTGAGCTGACACTTGAGATTTATTTTAAGGTATCATCAGTTGCCCCCCAGTTCTTGGCCCAAGCGAGTTTGGGCATGGGCTGAGCTGCTTTCACCTTGGACTAGACCTGCACCTAGCTGACCTTAGTCCGCATGTGGGATGCACATGGGAGGGGCATTTTGACGGTTTACAACAATCATGACTTTCTTGATCCTCGTGCATGTTTTGGCCCACGTCGTTTAAGCTTTAAATGCTCAAACGGCTACCTGAAAACCGCTCAAAATCCCCTGTTCATCTTCTACGTTGTTTACCTTCATCTCCGGCTCTTTGTTTCTGCGATTTCTAGGTTTTCCTCCACACGATTCCCTTATTTTCTGCTCTAGACTGTTTTTTTTGGGTTCGACTTGAAGTCCTACTTTGTTCCTCTCCTCCAATTTTGTTCTCTGGCTGCTGTTTGCTGCTCTCTTCCTTGTCTAGGTACGTTTCCTTCTGCCACTTTCTCTTTCTCTTACCTTTTCTCACTTTGGATCCCTTGACTTCGAGGTGGCCATTATTTTTTTGGATTTTTTGGTTCTTTTTCTTTTGGAATCGTGATCATTGCTTATCTCCTCTTCCCTGCTTTGTGGATTGGAACTCCACTGTGCGAATTCTTACTGTTGGGAGGTACAGTGCTGACCCTAG